TTGGTCAAGAGGAGGGTCAACAAGAAAGAGGAAGACCCTCAGTAAGATGGATTGGCACAGTGCCAGCAGCAGCAGCAATGATTGTGAGGAAGGCACGGGACCAGGCAGTGTTTCGTTTTGCTGTACATGTGGTTGCTATGAGTTACAACCCACACAACAGCACCTAACAACATACTGTAGGACGACTTTGACCCTACCCCCTCTCTTAAGGCGTGTTCTCAAAAAAGGTTTTTACTGAATGTTCCAGGTCTTTCTCTTCTGGTTACTCTCAGTCCTAGTAGTTAGTTAGTTAGTTCATTCGTTCGTTCGTTAGTGGCTCCCAGGATTTACCTCCTGGAGTTTCATCCTACACAAGCGCATGCTAGGGTTCCGCTGAAGTCTCAAGGGACCCTGTGTGTAGATTTATGGAGATCTTTCTCTGCAGCGCTCCCTCCTGTCTGGTACGCACCCTTACAAGTTTCAGCTACCACAGTTATCCAGAATTCTGATCCCTGCACTGTGGTCCAGAGGGTACCACCTGGCTGAAAGCCAGGGTGGTCATAGGGCTTTGGTTTTCCTTCTCAGAGACCACAGCCCTGCACTGACTCTCTTCTGCTCTCTGCAAGCAGTTGTTTCACAGATGTGGTCCAGTTTTCTAGTTGGAGGGCAATTTTAGTCCCATGGACACCAACGGGCTTCTTGCAGGTCATTCAAATGCATACAGTCCACTTCTGCCTGAAAGATACATGTGCCTTTGATTAACCTGATGGGTCACTGGAGAGGGTGGTGGTGGTGGTTATGTGCCGGAGGAATCGGTTCCGACTCATATCCGCATAGGATTTCCGAGGCTGTAAATCTTTATGGGAGCAGAAAGCCTCATCTTTCTCCTGCAGAACAGCTGGTAGTTTCAAACTGCTGACCTTGAGGTTAGCAGCCTGACTCGTAACCACTACACTAAGAAACAAATTAGGAAGTGTTTTTAAACTGTGAAACCAGCCAGTTGGATCTTTTAAAAGGAAAACAATGCAGAGCTTTTACTCTCAGAAGGCTGGGACTCAATTATTCCTTGAATAATTCCATAGAAACTAAGAGGCTGGTGAGCTAGCCACACATTCCTGGAGGAGTCCAGTTGTAGCCTCCCTCAGATTCTAGAAATGAACACAGACGCTTTTCCACACGGTTACAGGATGTTACCGTTTTCTGTTTTTGGAGATCATACTGGTGGGATGGTAATGAGTCAGCTTTGTGGCTGTGGCAGGAAAGGCTGATGGGAAACTGGTCTTTTGATTGTCAGAGGTGGAAAAGCCCTCTGTCCACCAGACCAACTTCTGTGGTCGTAGAGTGGGCTCCGGAAAGAGAGATGCACTTTCTCCAGGCCAACTTGATGCCATGTGCCCTGGGGACCACCAGTCACATTGTCATTTTACAAACGACTTGCTGTTGATAATGAGGTGCTGTCCATTTCTCATTGGTTTACTGATGAGCACCTTTTACAGATGATAGGACTGACATGCGCACTTGAAAGTCAGCGCTGGGGTCTACTCTGTTTTGCTGGGTGATGCTTGCTCCCCAGGAAGAAGAGGCTACATCCTCTGTGTCCTGAACTGTTACCTTCCAACTGGACATGATGTCTGGCACATAGTAGGCAGTCAGAAAATATCTGTTGAGTAAATCCATAAATCTGAATTCATGAATCTAGAGGAAATTTAAAAATTCTAAAAACATTCTATTATATTTTTGTTTTGTTTGTAAAGTGCCATTGAGTCGGTTCTGACTCGTAGCGATCCTGTACAGGGTTTCCGAGGAGTGGCTGGTGAGCCTTGAACCACTGACCTTGCGGTTCAAACCGACCTTGTGGTCGAGTGCTTATCCTACAGTGCCACACTAGGACTCCTTTTAATTGTATAAGAAAATAGAAATATAGCAAACAGCGTAAAATGAAGATGTGGCTTAATGGGATATTATCAGTTTGCATTTAAAAAGGCTTTTATCACTTAAATGAGTACCCAAAGGCAGTATATAGTTTAGTCTTGTACAATTAAAATTTTTGGATGTCTTTTCAGCCTCCTTTAATCTGTAAAAGGTACCCTAGAGGTACTGTGGGATGAGCACTGGACTGCTTAACCAGAGGGTCAGCAGTTCAAACCCACCAGCCACTCCACGGGAGAACAATGAGACCACCTGTTCTTGTAAAGATTTGCAGCCCCGAACCCTCTGTACAGGGACGATCTGAGTGGGACTCAGGGCTCCCCACTCTTTTGTTTTCTTGCGAAGAGCTGCTTGATCACATGGCTCCCCTTTACAGATACTTGTCAGCCTCCTCCAGGACCATGGTCTCATCCACCCAACAGAGAACTCAGAGAACACGCCATTTCTGCTTTTGCAGAATCATAGCTCTTAAATAGAGATTTAAAAACCTGTATAACAGCTTGCTGGTGATTTTCCATGACTAACCATCAAGATTGTGTTGCATACTCTTCAAGATGTTATGTGACTATCTTATTTCTTTTCTTACCCGAAACTTCATGCCTTGTCTGTCTTGAGGCTTTCGGCTTGCTGCTTCCTCTGCCCTTCTTCGGGTTCAGCGTTGCCATCACTTCCTCCTGGAAGCTTCTGCAGACTCACTGATCTGTTAGAGATGTCTAACATCTCTTTGTGGTTCCCGTAGCCTCTTGATGTTCCCTTAATAGAACCCTTATCACACTGCCTGCAACGGTCTGTTTCTGTATCTGCCTGCCCACTCCCCGCCTCCTGCTACTAGATGTCGATTTCAAGCCAGGAGCTGCATTGTAGGGAGACAATGGGCTTTTTTAGGGACCAGCGCTATTCCTCTTCTCACTCTCCATCATCTAGCAGGATGCTTGGCATCAAGAAATTAATAAATAAACTCCTGAGTTTATTTATTGATAAGATGTCTACTGTTTCCATCAAACTAAGATCATTTCATGTGAAACTTGTTTCTCTGCTCAGTTCAACTTCCTCTTTTAGAATCTTTTTTGGGAAGTGCAACCAAGTTCCTCTTCACATTTCCCCACCACAATGGCCTTTGGAAAGTTTGGGGTCCCCCATGAAAGCTTTTCTTAGCAAGCATACATTGCATTCTCCTGGGCCCACCCCTCTCACAGTCCCTGCCAGAAGCCCCCGCTTTTCATGTCCTGCACTCTGAAGCCCATAGCACACAAAGTAAAGATTCAGGCTCCAAGTCTGCCTCTTCTGCCCTACTTCTTAATGCTGCCTGACATGTCTTCATCTGTTGTCATGTTTTTGCAGCTGGAATTTATGGACATATGAACATGCTGCTGTTTCTCTTGCCTTTAAAGCACACTGACCTCATCACACTGTCTTGTCTGTCCTGAGTGGCCATGTCTCTTCTCAGAGCTGTATGCTACCTCTAAAGGTTTGCCCTGCCTGTCCAATGCAGAGGGCCTGGCGGCTTCCTGTTGGCTGCATCTCACCGCAGCCTCAAAGGGTTGTTGTTAGTAAATGGTGGGCCGTTTGTGATGACTGCTGATGCACCTTGTGTGGGGGTGGGGGTGGGGGTGGGGGGACCGCGTGGGCTTTAAAGAAAAGCAATTTGTTTTCTTACAGTTCCGAAGGCAAGAAGTCTAATATCAGGGTGGGATTCTAGGGGGAGGTCCTTCCTTGTTGTTGTTGTCAAGTGCTGTCGAGTCAGTTCCAACTCATAGCCAGTCTATTGGGTTCCCAAGGAGTGCTTGGTGGTGCATTCTTTCTCAGTAGCCCCTGGGAAGGAGCTGATAACACAGCCTGTTCTCTTGCCCTGGCCTCTCACTGAGAGCTTGTAGGCATACCAAAGTGTCAGGCAGAAGGAATGCTCAAGGTTCAAAAGACTTCCTGTCCCAGTGGCCACGAGGCAAAACCAACTGCGGCACCAAGCATCTTTGTCCTGTCCCCCTTCTCCAAGCTCAGTTTCCAGTTGGGGCCAGTGCCACAGTTCCCTGCAGCCCAAAGGGAGGCTATGCTATCCATTAGGGTGCCTAACCTGAGAAGGTCGGAAACTTCCAGAAGTTTTCCACATTCTTCTCTCTGGCAAATACCTCTTTCCCTAGACCTCATATCCACAGAGAAAGCTCAATCATGTGTCGGTGAGGATCTGCAGCAAAGCCTTGGAGGTCAAAGAGAGAGTCAGGGGGTCCAAGAGTCCTAGAGCCTAGTTCTTGGTGGGTACACACAGCAGGTGCCCAGGTTCCGGGGCTGGTTCCTGTTCCATGCTCCGCAAGCACATGTCATCGTTTCCTAGGTCTCCATCTTTACAAACAACCACGTGACCCCAGAGCTCTCCTCCCCTTTACAACTCCACTTACCCTCTCTACTTTTACTTCACATTCATTCCTGATCCTGCCACTGCCACTGCCACCAAGGGTCCACATTATTAACAGATGCAATCATGTGGAAACATAGAAAAGATGCAGGTGATTAGGAGTGTGGGTTGGGGGCATCACACTGCCTGGGCCCCTCACTGAACGTCAGATACTCATCACCACTTCTTCTCGTAGGGTACTTTTAGAGATGAGATGAGTTAGTACAAGGCACTTAGCAAAGGCTGGGAGGGCATGACATAAATGAGGATGGTGCTCCAGAGGAAATGTCCCCAGTCACTCTACTGAATTTGCTTAGAATTCTATTAGAAAACCAAAGGCATACCTATTGGGAAGGAAGGAGTAAAACTTTGTTCACACAACGTATATGTAGAAAATCCCAAAGAACCGACAAAGAAACTGGCGGCGCTAATACATCATTTCAGGAGGGCTGCACAGAGACTCGAAACCTTGACAGAAGCAGACAACCCGAGTTTTATCCCATGGAGTGGCTGGTGGATTCAAACTGTGGAGCGTTCGGTTAGCAACCCAACACTTAACCTACGGGCCCATCGAAATGAGCATGAAAATGACTGTTCACAGCAAGGTGGACTTTGTGTGCCCTTAGTAGAATGGCTGATTTACTTGTGTGGTTACTGCTCGGCACAGAGGTAAGTCACTCCTTCTTGATTCGCCTCTTTTCAGGCTTGGCGAAAGCGCTGGTTTGTCCTCCGGCGGGGCCGCATGAGTGGCAACCCTGATGTCTTGGAGTACTACAGGAACAAGCATTCCAGCAAGCCCATCCGTGCAATAGACCTGAGTGAGTGTGCAGTGTGGAAGCATGTGGGCCCAGGCTTCGTCCGGAAAGAATTTCAGAATAACTTCGTGTTCATTGTCAAGACCGCTGCGCGCACATTCTACCTGGTGGCCAAGACTGAAGAGGAGATGCAGGTGTGGGTGCATAGCATAAGCCAGGTCTGCAACCTCTGCCACCTGGAGGATGGTGCAGGTGAGAGCTGTGGACCAGAGGTGTCCTGCCATTTCCCATCAAGCCCCACACAACCAAACCCAACCCAGTGCCATGCAGCTGATTGCGCCTCATTGCAGACACTGTCAGTCTTTCCAGAAGCAGACAGCCTTGTGTTGTTTCTATAGAGCAATGGGTGTATTTCACCACCAACCTTGCAGTTAGCAGTCCAATGCCTAACCCACAGCTCCCCCAGGGCCCCTTCCCATCAAGCCCAGTTCTTTGCAGTTAGCTTCTAAGGCTCAGGTTCACATGGGAGCATCACTTATTCTTCCACAGTTGGGATGCAAGCCGTGAAAGTCAAATGTGAAAGAAGTCTAAAGAAGTCCTATAGTCTCAGACGTTCTCGAAGTAGCAAAAAGCACGTTATTTCTAACTTGATGACAGAGATCAAGCTTTTCTGGTGTCTACTGGGTTATTCAGCACTAGAGGTGAAAGGATAGAACTTAGCTCTTAGCATACTTAGCACACCGACTCATAGCAACCCTGTGCACAACAGAATGAGACACTACCAGGTCCGGCCCCATCCCATAATCATTGCTACGCTTGAGCCCACTGTGCCAATCCATCTCGTCGGGATCTTCCTCTTTTTCACCGACCCTCCATTTACCAAGCACGATGTCCTTCTCCAGGGACCGGTCCCTTCCGATAATAGGTCCAAAATATGAGAGACGAAGTCTCACCATCTCGGGTTCCAAGGAGCATTTTGACTGTACTTCGTCCAGCACAATCTGTTTGTTCTTCTGGCAGACTATGAACCTTTAATATTCTTCTCCAACACCCTAACTCAAATGGCATCAATCTACTTTCTGTGGGCTTCCTTATTCACTGTCCAACTTTCACATGCATATGAGGTTATTGAAAATACCATGACTTAGTCGTCAAACTGACGTCTTTGCTCTCGAACACTTTAAAGAGGTCTTGTGCAGCAGATTTGCCTAAAGCAATACATCCTTGGATTTCTTGACTGCTGAATCTATGATCTTCATCAGTGCAAAATGAAGTCTCTGACAACTTCAACTTTTCTCCATTTATCTTGATGTTATTTATTGGTCCAGTGGTGAGGATTTTTGTTTTCTTTACATTGAGGTGCAACCCATACTGAAGACTGTGTAAGTATTTTAAATCCTCTTAGTTTTTGGCAAGCAAGGTTGTATCATCTGCATATCACAGGTTTTTAATGAATCTTCCTTCAATCCTAATGCCATGTTCTTCTTCATATAATCATCTTCTTGAATAATTTTTTCGGCATGCAGATTGAATAAGTAGGGTGAAAGAATACAGCCCTGCTGCACACCTTTTCTGATTTTAAACCATTCAGTGGTCCCTTGTTCTGTTCACCCAACTGCTTCTTGGTCTATGCACAGGGTTCTCATGAGCACAATTAAGACTTCCGAATTGTGCTCACGAGGAACCTGTACACAGACTCATTCGCCACAAGGTTGTCCATAGCTTGTCATGATCCTTACAATCAAAAGCCTTTGTGTAATTAATAAAGCACAGGTAGAATTCTATGTAGTCTCTGGTTCCATGTCCACATCTAAATCAGGCTTGTAACTCTGGCAGTTCTTGTCAATGTACTTTTGCAGCCATTTTAAAATTATCTTTAGCAAAATTTTACTTGCATATAACAGTAATGATATTGTCCAATGATTTCCACATTCCGTTGGGTCACCTATCTTTGGATAGGATTTCTTTCAATCAGTTGTCTTCCAGATTTCTTGGCATAGATGAGTGAGTGCCTCCAGTGCTATATCGTTTTGTTGAAAGATTTCAATTAGTATTCCATCCATTCCCGGTGCCTTGTTCTTTGCCAATGCCTTCATTGCACCTTGGACTTCTTCCTTCAGTATCATTGGTTCCTGATCAAATGATCTTGAAATTATTGAACATTGATGATTTCTTTTTGGTGACTCTAGGGATTCCTTCAATCTTCTTTGGATGGTTTCTGCATCAGTCAATATTTTGCCTATAGAATCCTTCAGTATTTCAAGTCGAGGCTTGAATCTTTTACTCAGTTCCCTCAGCTTGTTCTTTCCTTTTGGTTTTCTAACTCCAGGTTTTCATACATTTCGTTATAATATTTGACTTTGTCTTGTCGAGCTGTCCTTTATAATTTTCAGTCCAACTCTTTCCCCTCCTCATTTCTTAATTTGCTTTAGCATCTCTATACTGGAGAGCTAGTTTCAGAGTCTCTTCTGACATCCATTTTGGTCTTTTCCATCTTTCTTAATGATTTTTTGCTTTCTTCTTGTATGGTGTTCTTGAGGACTTGTTTTAATGTTCTTAAGTTTCAGCCTGAACTTGCATATGAGCAATTGATGGTGTGTTCCACAGTTTTCTTTGAGCCTTTTTTGGGTGCTTTTCCACAGATGTTGTCAATTTGATTTCTGTGCGTTCCATCTGGAGAGGTCCATGTGTATAGTCATCTCTTATGCTGTCTAAAGAAGCTATTTCAATGAAGAAGTCATTGGCCTTGAAGAATTCTACCATGTGATCTCCAGCATCATTTCTGTCACCAAGGCCTTTATTTTCCAACTACTGATTCTTCCTCTTTGTTTCCAACCTTTGCATTCCAATCAGTACATCTTACTTACATGTTTCATCAATTTCTGACTAAGGAAGTTGGTATAATTCTTCAATTTCATCATCACTGGCTTTGGTTGTTGGTGCGTAAATATGATTAATAGTGGTATTAACTGGTCTTCCTTCTAGGCTTGTGGATATTATCCTAGCACAGACAGCGTTGTACTTCAGGATAGATCTGGAAAGTGCTGAGGATGACTGTGGCGCCATTCCTCTTCAATGTGTCATTCCCGGCATAATAAGCCACGTGGTTGTCAGATTCAAAATGGCCAGTACCAGTCCATTTCAGCTCAGTAATGCCTAGGATAGTGCTGTCTATGCATTCTGTTTCATTTTTGACAGCTTCCAATTTTCCTAGATTCCTACTTCGTACATTCCATGTTCTTATTATTAATGGATGTTTGCAACTGTTTCTCCTCATATTCCTTACATTTCTTCTCAAGGTTTCAGCAAGGTTTTCTTAAGGTCTCTACAAGAGTGTTAGCTGTAAGTTTGCTTTGGGAAAACTTGTAACTAATTTCTGTGCTGTAGGGGAGAGATTTCTATAGGATACCCTTAGCTCCAGAGGTGGTTAGGTGAGACAGTCCATGAGTGCTCACATGATGGCTCATGTGCTCTCATACTTGCTCAATCACTTTTCATAAGTTTGTGTATATGTAACTATCCAGACGTCTCTCTCACACACACAGTTTCCTTGAAGGATTTTCTTGTTGAGCCCTGGGGCATCATTTGATCATGCCTTGACCCTCACACTATGGGATTTTAAATCTGGCTTCTTTCAGTCTCCATCTAGTACACAAATCTTTACTCCTAAATTCCCTGTTCTGCAGTATTTTCAACATTTAAATGATTACTGAATGCTTTTCCCCATCTGCCACCGTAGTATCCATATTACAACACTAGGTGGCAATGAAGAGTCAAAGGTGTATGCTTTCTGAACCAGGGAAGCTTATTAAGTAACATTGCTAAGCTTTGAGAAGACGCAAATAATAGGAGATGGAGTATGGCAAGATCTTTATTCTGGGTACAACAGATGAAATTTACTAGCAAAACTCACTGACTGAGTTCAACATCATGCCTATCAACAGGGCCTCCCTGACAACTTCTCAACCTAGCCACTGGCTCTCCGCTCGCCCTTCAGCCAAACTATATGCATATTTGCATATCTTGTTCTGTGTTTCTTTCCTCATCCGGAAGTTAAGAATTTATCCCTAGCCATAGAGACATAATATGGTTCCCAACAACCCAAAAGGAAGAGGAATGAGTAAGAGTCCAGGCACGAAGCCTTGACCTGAAGTCCTTCTAGCACGCTTTGTTCCCTTTGTTTTTAGGTGAAGATGAGTGTAGAGTTCTTTTCATCTGAGAACCACCCTGGAGTGTGTCCTGTGGCTTCTCAGCATATACCAGGCAGCTTCAAAATGGCATGATCTTTTCACTCTACTTTTCCACAAACTTTCTGAAGCCCTCTTGTAGTGTTTCGTTCTGTCTCCAGCAACCATAAAATAGTTAACACGTCATGGATTTTCTGGCCAGGACCGCTGTCTAGTCCCTGTTTGGTAAAGTGGAAGGTCAGAGAAAAAGAGGAAGACCCCCAGCGAGATGGATTGGCACAGTGGCAGCAGCAATGAGCCAAAATGTATCAGCGATTGTGAGGTTGGCCCAGAACTGGGCAGTGTTTCGTTCTGTTGTGCGTACGGCCTCTATGAGTCGGTACCGACGCAAGAGCACTTAACTACAACAACTTCCTCATAGCGATTCTGTGACGTGTGTACTATTGTAGCCTCCACCATCCAGAAGATGGTAACGAAGGTTCCATAGTAGTGGCTGCACTTCAACCCTGGGCTGTTTTGGGTGACTATTGGAATCCTGCATCCTGCTAACGGTCTTCCAAGGGGAAGTCAAAGCAGGCTCTTCACTGGGAGTTGCTGATCTGGAGTTCTTATCCGCTTCGGATCCAGATTAATCTTGAGGACAATTTTCTACTCGAGAATTGTAGACTTTCCCAACCATGAAAACACTGTTTCTTTCCTTCTTGTTAGTTCCATGTGTTCGGTGCGAGAATGTGAGCTGAGTGTGGGCAGGGTCTTTGTCAGGGCTGTATTGGCAGCGTTAGAGCAGTTCCAGGCACTTGCTAAGTACAGCAGTAGATAATCTATATGGACACGTATGGCAGATATGAGGGGACTTCAAAAGCTTTATGGGAAAAGTCTATTTTCAACAAATGTTTTTCTGGCCCCTCATATAGATCTGTAGCTATAGAGACACACATATACATATGCACCGTGCGTTAATGCGCCAGACTACAAAGTCGTTTGAACTGCAAGGTCAGCCCGTCAAGCTCAACAGCTGCTCCTCAGAAACCCTGTACAGGGTTGCTGTGGATTGGAATCGACTCAATGGCACTTAACACCACCAATATATATGTGTACATGTATATGTAAGTCACACACATTCATATATCACACAGAGTCCTGGTGTGGCGCTGTGGGATAAAGCACCGGACTGCAGTGTTGGTTTTAACCACAAGACTGACAGTTCAAACTCACCAGCCGTTCCTTGGAAACCCTATATAGGGTTACTTTGAGTCGGAACTGACTCGACGGCACATAACAACCACATAAATATATAAATAGAGTCCTGTTGTAGCGCTGGAGGAGGTTGGCAGTTCAAGCCCACCAGCTGCTTCTCTACAGGGTCACGATGAGTCGGAACGGATTCGATGGTACTTAATGACAAAACAGCTTTATGTACATGTACGTATTGTTGCATTGATAAACAATGTTGGGGGAGGGCTGATGAGGGCCGTAAGGAGCTCTGTGTAGACGATCTGACTGCAGGTTTGTAGGCCAAGAAAGCTTGTTTTTGAGACTTTTAATTGATTCAGCACTTCACTCTTGGAACATTGGCCTCCTTTTCTAGACAATGTTTATAGCATCGGGAAATGGGCTTCTCCATCAGTACAAACACCAGCTGTGATTTGCATCTTGTATTTGGCTTCTGAGCTGCTGTTTCGAGCTTGGGAGTGAGTGTTATAGGCATTCTACAAATGTTAACCCGGGAAATGATTTCTCCAGCAGGTTCTGTGGAGAGCCTCTCTCACACGCCCTCCTCCCTGCAGCCTTCCCCTGCCAGCTCCCTCCACACCGCCCAGGCTGCCAGGGCCTCCTTGCCAAAAGAGGGCCGGAGTGCTAGGAGCTCAGGTACTGAGGAAACCCGGAGGGAGTCAGAGTTTCTCTTCCTTCCGGATTATCTGGTTCTGTCCAGCTGTGAGACCGGAAGACAGCAGCGTAGCAGGTACAACCATGCAGGCTTCTTCCCTTGCCTCCCAAAGCCCACGGTTCCTCCTCTGGTGGAGTCCCTTGCTGAGATGTGCTCCTTGTACCTGCCATAGTGTCGTCCAGTGGGTGGGTCTGCCCTCAACTCTCCCTGCAGCTGCCACGGTGGGAACAGATCATGTATTTCAGCATGTGGCTTTCATGTCCTAGGTGTCAGATGCTTATATGATGAGAAAGAAAAAATCAACAAATGATTTTTTCCTGTGCTAGAGGGCTTGGCTTAACTGAGGAATGTGGAGGACAGATGGCTACACAAGCAGAACAAGAAGGGGGTATTAGAGGAATGGGAAGAAGGCCAGCAAGAGGTCAGGAGTAGACTTTCTTCTTCAGAGTCTGCAATTGTTCCCTCCAACTTGTATGGTTTTCTTCCCTCAGTCTACCCACAAGATGTGATAGCTGGTCAAACTCGGATCGCTCATTGGAACAGACTTCATTTGATGACGTATTTGTTGAATGCCGGCAGTCAGTACCCTCCAGTCATTTGATGTACTCCTCAGGCCAGGGAAATGGATCTCAGGAGATGCCTTCCATGAATGCCCAGGCCGTTCTGCTCAGGAGTAGAGAAATCAACGGACCCTCCTGGGACCACTTGTCATCTTCATCATCACTGGGAAATGCCTTAAATCCCACCATTCAGGTAGATGAAAACCAAGGCTCCTTGCCCTGTGGGATAAAAGAACTAGACACGATGTCCAACACTCCACCTCCCCGCCCCCCTAAGCCAAGCCATCTCTCTGAACAGTTCCTGAGGAGTGGGCACAGCCGCATCAAGAACCTAGAGTGTTCTGTGGTTCCAAGAAGAATCTCCCTCTCTGGTTTAGATACCATGAGAAGCTGGAAAGGTAAGTGTTGGCATGCTAACAATCAGGTCCAGAGGATGGCCTGGCCTGGCTCTTCTTCACTTATTGTGTCTACATGAGGACTGTTAAGCCAGCATCCTTTCTGAATAGGACCAGACATTTTGTGGAAGCACACAGCCAGAATTTTAGCAATTCTCCTCTGTTTGCAGCCCCCCTCCTTTGGCCATGTCACTAGGGAATTTGGTTAAGGTTTTTTCCAGAGTGACTTAATTCCTCAGTCAGAATCAAAGATTCATACAATTTAAAACTGTATTTGCATTCTGTAAACTTCTGCCATTCCTTCCAAAGAAAGCCTTAGTAGGCAACGGCAAGAAGGTGTGTGTATCAAATGAGATGCTGAATGAGGCTGGAAAGGAGCTTCACTATGCCTATGAGAGGCAAAGACTTGAATAGGGCCAAGCTGAGCCACAGAAAGACATCACCTTCCATACCAAGGGGGCGCACAAGTGCCTCCACCAACATCTGTAGGGAACTAACTATGTTTCCTGGTGGTCGGTCTCAAAGGGTCTGAATGTGTGGACATGTGTGGACAGTGGAAAAAAGGGAAAGCTGAAAGAGGAGGCAAGGTGGCTTTAGAGCAGGAGATAGGTGAAATCAAAAGGGTAATAATAGAATGTGAGAGAGTCGCAAATGTGAGAACAAAAAAAGGAACTAGTTTAGAGTTTGAAGACAAATATCAATGAAGTTTTTTTTCTTTCAGATACAGGCAAAGGCTAATATTAATTTGTTGTTGTTGTTGTTTCATGTCATTGAGTCTGGTATGACTCATAGTGACCCTGTGTAGGGTTTCTGAGAAGTAGCTGGTGAGTTTGAAGCACTGACCTTGAGGTTAAAACTGACCTTGTGGTCCAATGCGTACCCTACAGAACCATCCAAGGGTACTCTAGAATCACTTATTTAAAAATACATAAAATAAGGATTTGACCATGAAACAAAAGGCAAAAACAACAATGAATTAAATAGAAGGATACCGTAAAGCAGATTAAAATGTATTGTTCTTCCTTTTTCTCATTTTGAACCACCTGAGATTGAGGTTTGTGCATGGCAAGGTTCATTCTTGTCTGTGTGACCCCACAATGATGTGGGAAGGCCGTCCTGTCACCAGGGCTCTCCCGGGCTGCCTCTGCCCGGTCCTGTATCATGCACGCAATTGTGCTAAGATTTGAGCCCATCACTGCTGCCATTTTGTCAGTCCTGTATAGTAAGTAACTGTAAGGTGTGTCGATGGCATTAATTGATTCAACTCTTCTGAAGGGTTTGTTGATGTTAAGTGCCATCAAGTTGGTTCGCACTCATAATGACCCTGTATAGGGTTTCCAACGAGCGTCTGGTGATTTTGAACCACCAACCTGATTGATCAAAGCAACCTTTCAGTCCAGTGCTTATCCTATAGTGCAATACTAGGACTCCACATTTACAGAATGACTTCACACAGTTAATCATTGCAAAATTATTTGTGCAGGAAAGCTAGGAATTAACCTAAATGGTCACCTATAGAGAATTTGTCAAGTTAATTACTCTACATCCTTTCAAAGACATGAGTCAGAAAATATTGCTACTAGGCCTCCAGTTCATACATGCATGCATGCATTCCCGACAAAGTATATTTAAACATGTCTTTGCAATCAGTGGATGACTGCAAACAACTTCTGTCAGTACTAAACTTGCCTTAGTCTTATTAGGATATCTTCCAGAAAAAAAAAAAAAAAAAAGATCCAATTAAAACAGTGGTTTCTGATGGAATATGCTAGACCAATTAAAATCAGGACAGAGAGGTCAGCTCAGAAGATTACGGTGACTTTTTATTATTATTATTCTGAAAGGATATTCTTGATACTGTGTGACAAACTATGGATAACATTGCAAAGAACAGGAGTTCAGACCACTTCACTATGCTCATGCAGATGCTGTACATAGATTAAGAGGCAGTCATTGGAACAGAATAAGGGGATACTGTGTGGTTGGCAATCAGGTGCACATCTGGGTTGTGTCCTTTTACCATATTTAATAAGCTATATGCTGAAAACATAATCCTGATGAACTTGGCATCAGGATTAGAGCAAGATTCTTTAGAATCGTAACAACATGCAGATGACACAACCTTGCTAGTTGAAAGTGAAGAGGACTTAAAGTACTTGCTGATGAAGATAAAAAACTACATACAGCCTTCAATTTAGATTACACTTCAACATAAAGAAAACAAACATCATCACAACAGGACCAATAAGCAACATCAGAATAAATGAGAAAAGATTGAAATTATCAAGGATTTTTTTTTATGTTGATCCACAATGTTCATGGAATTAGCAGTGAGGAAATCAAATGACTTATTGCATTGGGAAAATCTGCTTTAAAAGATCTTTCAAAGTATTAAAAAGCATACATGTTACATTTAAAACTAAAGTGCATCTGACCCAAGCCATGATACTTTCATTTGGCTCAATATGCATGCAAAAGCTGGACAACAAATGAGGGAAAACTGAAGAAAAATTGATGCCTTTGAATTATGGACTACCAGAAAATAAACCTGGGTTGGAAGAAGTACAACCAGATGGCTCCTTAGAAGCTAGGATGGTGAGACTTCATCTCATATACTTTGGACACGTTATCAGGAGGGGCCAGTCCCTGGAGAAGCACATCATGCTTGGTAAAGTACAGGGTCACCTAAAAAGAGCAAGACCTTCAACCAGATGGATTGACACAGTGTCTGTAACAGAGAAATGATTGTGAGAACAGTGCAGGACCAGGAAGAGTTTCATTCTGTTGTACATATGGTCACTGGGAGTTGGAACCAACTGAATGGCACCTAAAAACAACAACACTCTTGATAGATTTTTCTCAAAGGATACAAGACAATCACAGGTACTTAAGATGAAGTTTTAAGTAAATTTAAAGCTGCATTGGTGAGAAAAAGGTCAAGAAACCTACACCAAGGAATTATTTTCATATCAGGATAATATACCAGCTCATGTTGCAATGGTAGAAATGGCTGTCCTGTGAGAATTTCATTGGGAAACCTTACTACATCCACCCTACCCTCCTGAACTTGCCCCTTCCAACTTTTTGTTCCCCAAATCCAAAGGCCATTTAAAAGGAACATGATTTTAAGTCCCCTGAGAATGTCAAAAGTGCCATTTTGACATGGTGAAAATTGAAGAGCACTTTGGGGAAGTGTTACAGAAATAAAAACATCACTTTCAGAAGTGTATAGACCAAGAAGAAGGATATGTCAAGAAACTAGCTTTACATTTTGATGTTTTTGCTTAATAAATATTTGTATGATTTTGTAGCAATAGTTTTTGGCATATTTCATAACTGTAAAAAAGAATGGGTATGTATATGACATTATAGAATTGTGTTAATGTTAAATTTCCTGAATCTGATCATTGGACCCTGGTTATATGAAAGAGTGGCTTTGTTCATGAGCAGCCATCTAAGGTGCAACTTACTGGGCTTCTCCTTGTCTGGATAAAAGAAGAGTGATGAAAATAAAAAACACTTAGAAACAATTAGTCCAATGCACTAATGAATTATGTGAACATCAGTCTCCGTGATCTTGAGACCAGAAGAACTAGATGGTGCCCAGCCACCGCTATGAACTCCTCTGAAAGGAATCGCATTAGTAGGTCCTAGATAGAATGTGCTCTGGTAGTGTAGTGGTTACAAATCGGGCTGTGAGCCGCAAAGTCAGCAGTTCGAAACTACCAGCTGTTCCGTGGGAGAAAGATGAGGTTTTCTGCTCCCATAAAGATTTACAGCCTCAGAAGCCCTGTACAGGGTCGGTATGAGTTGGAACCGACTCCACGGCACACAACAACAACAACAGATAGAATGTGAGAAAGTGTGGAATGAAGCTCAAAATCATAAAAAACAAAACATACTTACTGGTCAGATAGAGAGTAGTGGAACCCCCAAGCTATGGGCCTGGTCACCCTTCATGTCAGGAACTGAATTCACCCCTTTGTCTTAATTTTCAGCTAAGCGATAGGTGAGTTTGTCATACTGTGGTGACTTGCATGTTGCTGTGATTCTGGAAGATATGCCACAGGTATTTTAAAAACCATCAGGGTAACCCCTGGTAGACAAGTTTCAGATGATCTTCCAGACAAAGACTAGGGAGAAGGAGAGATGGACTACTTCCAAATGCTTAATCACTGGAAACCTTATGAATAGCAGTGGAACACTGTCAGCTCAAGAATACTGAATATTGAAACATGATGAAGAGCACTAGAATATTGCCAGATACAGTGCTGGAAGATGAGCCTCTCAGGTTGGAAGGCACTCACACTATGACTAGGGAAGAGCTACCTCCTCAAAGTAGAGTTGACCGTGATAAAACAAATAAAGTAAAGCTGTTGGCACCTTCATTTGCTGATGGGGCACAACTCAAAATGAAGAGAAACATTTGTAAATATCCACTAATAATAGGAGCATGGAATGTATGAATCTAGAAAAATTGGAAGTTTTCAAAAATGAAATGGAATGCATAAACATTGATATCCTAGACATTAATAAGGAGCTCTGGTAGCGTAGTGGTTATGAACTGGGCTGCGAGCCTCAAGGTCAGCAGTTCGAAACTACCAGCTGCTCCGTGGGAGAAAGATGAGGCTTTCTGCTCCCATAAAGATTTATAGCCTTGGAAACCCTGTTCAGGGTCGCTATGGGTCGGAACCGACTCGACAGCACTTAACAACAACAACAACAATGAGCTGAAATGGACTGGTACTGGCCATTTTGAATCTGACAACCACATGGCTTATTATGCCGGGAATGACACATTGAAGAGGAATGGCGTCACAGTCATCATCAAAAACAACATATCAAGATCTGTCCTGAGTACAATGTTGTCTGTGATAGGAAAATATCCATATGCCTACAAGGAAGATCAGTTAATACCACTATTATTCAAATTTATGCACCAACCACTAAAGCCATGATGATGAAATTGAAGAATTCTACCAAGTTCTTCAATCTGAAATCGATCAAACATGCAATCAAGATGTATTGATCATTACTGGCGATGGCAATGCATAGGTTGGAAACAGTTGTTGGAAAATTTGGCGTTGGTGATAGAAACGATACTGGAGATCACATGATAAAATTTTGCAAGACCATTGACTTCTTCATTGCAAATACCTTGTTTAGACAGCATAAAAGAAGACTACACACAAAGACCTCACCAGATGGAATACACAGAAATCAAATTGACTACATCTGTGGTAAGAGATGGTGGAAAAGCACCATATCAATGCCAGGGGCAGACTGTGGAACAGACCATCAGTTGCTCTTATGAAAACCAAAAAGGAAGTACACTCAGCATTTCTCAAGCTGGGGGAACTGAAGAAGAAATTCAAGCCTCGACTTTCGTTACTGAAGGATTCTCTGGGCAAATTATTGAATGGTGCAGAAAGCATCAAAAGAAGATGGAAGGAATACACAGAATCACTGTACCAAAAGGAAATGGTTGATGTTGTTTCTCTAGTCACTCATCACAAGAGCCATTTCAAACCTTCTCCCCTGTCTTCAAATCTTCAGCTCTGCCTCTCCCATCTCTAATCCCCTAAGATTCATGTAATAAATGCCATCAGCAGTTACTGGTTATTTACTCTATCTCTTCTACTTCACAGAGAGAACCAAAGTCATCAGATAGAGATGTCAGCATCTCATCTGATTTTCCATCTTTTGGGGAATACGCTCCGACCACTCCGCTAGAGTTAGTAGAAAGGCTTGCATACAGACACTCTGTGTTTTGATTCTCTGCCTGACCAATGGAGGTTTGGGGGGGGGTGGGGGACTTGGTAACAAGGATAACAAACTTTCCTTGATGTCTGCATTTGTAACCACTCTGGCTTGTGTCTTGCAGCTGATCTAGAAGGTCAATCCTTACGACACCGAGACAAGAGACTCAGTTTAAATTTGGTAAGTTTGGCACGCAGCTTCGTTTAAGCCTTAATTTTATCGAAATCAGCCCTATCTGCACATATTCCTCTGCAGTCTTTTGAGACTCATCACTCAGAGTTTACAAACCGTTGGAGACTCACTGGTGTTCTGTCAGGGCCTTGCTAGTTCTAATGGTACAAATACAAGCCATTGTCTAACATGGGGGAGCTACTTAAGGCATCACAGTAGACTGAAAGCATTTGCATAAATTCCTAATCCTCTGTCTTCTGGCATCAGATCTAGGAGAATCATTGCCATCACTCACTCACACGTTAAGGCTTGAGGCAGAGCCTGAATTACAGGCTTGTTTATCTTTCCTAAGGAAATTCACATTTATTCTTGAATCATTTGGAACTGAAAGCGCATGTGCAGTCTCAGCTGCCTACTCATAGCCGTATCCATACTGTCTTGCAGCCATGCAGGTTCTATCCGATGAGCCCCACAGCTACAGCCAATGCTGAAGCTAGTTATGTGCCCATGGGCCCTCATGTCGCTGCCTCAGGCCTTGGACCGCACAGCAGCACTGATGACTACATCCCGATGGGCTCAGGAAGCATCTCAAGCCCACTGCCTGAGCTGCCTGTGGACCTGGAGCCTCCTCCAGTGAATCGAGACCTCAAGCCTCAAAGGAAATGTAAGACCCTTGGCCAAGCCTGCTATGTCCAAAGAGGGGAGCAGGGTTCTGGCAGCCGCTTAGAAAAGATCTTCTGCCTGGCTTTCCCTGAGAAGGAAGGTCAGGGGGCTGGACAGTGTAATGGCTAGAGAAAAGTGGGATGAGAGTCAGGAGACTAACAGCCTACAAAGCCAAGTTCATTCCGAAGGGCTCATCTTTGACTTACAAGTAGAGCCCAGGAATATGGTAGCCCAGAAAGGCCTTTGATGCTAACTTGTAAATGTGCTGAGCTAGTAACATGCCGTACTGCTCTGTGTGTGCCCGTTTCCAGAGGTGTTTGGGGATGAGGGAAGTCTTTGCCAATGAGCAGCATGGGTCCTATGTGCACAGAGCAACCACTCAGCTTCTCAGGAACAGACTGGGAGCAATAATAAGAGAGAAACAGTAGGGCAACACAACTTGCTGACTTCATTCTTGTCACCCACACCAGCCCAGTCAGGCTAGGTGATTACAGGGAAACGTTCTGTACAGTGACAGCCGCGACTCTTTAGATCAACCACCACCTGAGGTGGCTGTGCCAAAGCTGGTAACTAACTCTCCTCCCCACCCCCGTCCTGCCAGCTCGATTCCAGTCACAATCCCTTCAACTGCAGTGAAACCACACTGGGTGGGATGCCGAAATGAGAACCCTCGGGGTGTTCTTCAGTCCAAGGGGGAGGGCACTGTGTCAACAGTAGCTGGGAGAAGAGCTCTAAAGTCGGTACTGTGTAGGAGAGCAGACACTGTCCCATAGCTTCCTTTTGGTCAGAAGCTGTTTCACGGGAGACTATCACTTTGAGGTGGGTATGATTGTTTGGCTCAGTTACATTTTGAGAGCTGTGCCGTCCAACAGAATCCTTGGTGATGATGGAAATGTAGCTACTGAACACTTGAAACATGGCTAGTGCAATTGAGCAACTGAATTTTAAGTTTAATTTTAAGAGTTTCCTTTAAAAATGAATATAGGCACGTGTGCCTAGTGGCTACCATTGTGACCTGGGAATAGGAGACATGACGTGTGGTTGGATGAACCACACGTTTTGGGGATTACTGGGTAGGTTCAAGAATGACCCCAAGGCCACAGCACAGCTGTAGGGATGGAATGTAGGCCCCGGCAGGAGAGGGCAGGTGGTGAGTCAGGAAGAGGCCAGTAGATTAACCAGATACACCCAGGCGAAGCTGTCTCCCCAGGTCCTGCATGGCTCCCATGCCCTGCCAGGGCAGCCTCTTGCCCCAGACAGAGACTGATGAGAAACCAACTGAATAGGCCAAAGGTTACTTGACAAACATCGGCTTGCACCAGGGAAGGTGATATCAGACCCAGGGTGTTCTGTGTGGCCTCAGAAGGACCTTCTGAACTACTTTGCCCTCCTCTGTCCCTCAAATACTGCTCCCTGATGACAAGAAACAGAGCTACTGCCATTGATCTTCCTGCTCTCTCCCTCTGCAGCCCACTTGGTCTACATCCGGCTCATCAATTTTTTATTTCATGGATTGTGCTTTTGGTATTATATCTAAAAAGCCACCATCAAACCCAAAGCCACTGATCATTTTTGCCTATGTTATCTTCTACAGGTTTTATAGTCTTCTAGTTTTATCTTTTACATTTAGGTCTCTGAGCCACTTTTAAGTTAACACGCTTTGGGGGAATTTGTTAAGATCTGTATTTGCATTCATAATTTTTCATGTCTTTTCTCCATGGAATTCTTTACTCCTTTGTCACAGACCAGTTGCCTGTATTTGTGTGGGCCTGTTTCTGGCCTGTGTATCCTGCCCCATGGATTTATTAGTCTCCTCTCTTGCCAATTACTATCAGTTCTCCAACTTCATTCGTTTTCAGTATTGCTATGCTGAATCTTTTGCCTTTCAACATTCACTTTAGCATCAGTTTGTTGATTGCTACTGTCAAGTTGATTCCCACACATAGAGACCCTGTGCCCAACAGAACAACACACTGCCCAGTCCTATGCCGTCCTCACAACTGTTAGGTGTCAGCCTATCGCTGCTGTCCCTGTGCCCATTCATCTCCTGGAGGGGGTCTTCCTCTTTGATACTGACCCTCCACTTTACCAAACATGATGTCCTTCTCCAGGGACCGGTCCCTCCTGATAACATGTCCAAAGTATGAACGACGACGTCTTGCCATCTTCGTTTCTATGGAGCATTCTGCTTGTACTTCTAACACAGATTTGTTTACTCTTTTGGAAGACCATGGTGCTTTTAATAATTCTCCTCCAACACCACAACTCAAATGCATCAAGTCTTCTACAGTCTTCTTATTCGTTGTCCAACTTTTACATGCATATGAAGCGATTGAAAATACCCTGGCTTAGATCAGGTGCCACTTAGTCCTCACACTGACACCTTTGCTCTTTAACACTTTAAAGAGATCAGCAAATCTAGCTTCCCCAACTAAGTGCCTGAAAGCCCCCCACCCTGCAAGCAGACCTCCTGCCCAGAGTCACTCAGCTTTACTGGCTCTGTGGACTGGGAAGCCCACCGCTCTGTCTCTTGTTCTGCTGCTGCTCCTCTTCTGCCACGCCTCCAGGGTCACAGCTTTCTGTCCCAGGCTTGAGGACGTTCAATGTTCAGTGACCTCAGGATCCTCCAACTTCTGAGATGGTTCATTTTATACAATTCACCGAGAACCGACTTGACAGCTCTTACCAACAACAACATGCATAGAGGCAGCAATGATTATGAGGCTGGCCCATAGCATCAGGTCACTATGCCTTGGAAACAGACCGACTTATTTATGTTAGCCTTGTATCCTACAACCATCCTAGGTTGTTTGTTAGCTCCAGGAGTTGTGGGGAGGTTTTGTCAGTTCTTTGGAATTTTCTACATAGATAATTCTGTCGGATAAGCACTCCACCTAAACGCTGAAGTTTTGATCATTCAAACTCACCAGCCACTCCTCAGCAACCCTATACAGGGTCACTATGCACCGGAAACAACTGAACTGCGCTTAAAAGCAATTATGTTTTCTGTCAACAAAGACAATTGTATGCTTCCCTCTAAATGTGTTGTTGTTATTAGGTGCCAGGTCCAACTCATCTCAACCCCATGCCCAACAGAAAGAAACCCTGCCCGGTCCTGGGCCAGCCTCACAGTCCTTGTTAGGGGGAAGCCCATGATTGCTGCTGCCACTGCGCCAATCCATCTTGTTGGGAGTCCCCTCTTCTTCACTGACCTTCCATTTAACAAGCATGATGTCCTTCTACAGAGACTGGTCCCTCCTGCATTTGTCTTGCAGAAATCTATCCAAGGAGCACTCTGGCTGTACTTCCTCCAACACAGATCGGTTGGTTCTTTTGGCAAAAAAACTTTCAATATTCTCCTCCAACACCCTAACTCAAATGCATCAATTCTTCTACGGTCTTCTTTATTCACTGTCCAACTTGCACATGCATATGAGGTTATTGAAAATACCATGACTTGGGTCAGGTGGACATTGTTGTTGTTGTTAAGTGCCGTCGAGTCGGTTCCGACCCATAGCGACCCTGTACAAGGTTTTCGAGGGTGTAAATCTTTACAGGAGTAGAAAGCCTCATCTTTCTCCCGCGGAGCGGCTGGTAGTTTCAAACTGCTGACATTAAGGTTCGCAGCCCGATTCGTAACCACTACGCTAGCAGAGCTCATTTAGTTCCTCAAAATGATAGGTTCCTCATGAGCACAATCTGGAATACCCATTCTCCGCAGCGTTGTCCACAGCTTGTCATGATCCACACAATCGAAAGACTGTGTTGTCAATAAAGCACAGGTAAACAAACATCTTTATAGTATTCTCTGCTTTCAGCCAAGATCCATCGGACATCAGCAGATGATATCACTCGTTCCACGTCCTCATCTGAATCGGGCTTGAACCTCTAGGAGTTCCCTGCCAATATTCTATTGTAGTCATTTTATAATTATCTTTAGCAAAATTGACTTTCATGTGATATTAATAATATTGTCTGATGATTTCCATATTCCTTTGGTCACCTCTCTTTGGAATGGTCACAGATATGAATCTCTTTCAAATTCTTGGCATAGATGACTGAGTGCCTCCAGTGTTGCATCAGTTTGTAGAAATATGTCATGCTGAAACCTTCAGTGCACCTTGAACTTCTTCCTTCATTACTATAGGCTCTTGATCATATGCGACCTCTTGAAATGGTTGCACATCGACCATTTCCTTTTGATCCAGTGACTTTGTATATTCCGTCCATCTTCTTTTGGTGTTTTATGCATCATTCAATACTTTGTTCACGGAATCTTCCATTATTGCAAGTCAAGGCTTTCAGCTTAAGAGATGCTGAGTATGTTCTTCCCTTTTGGTTTTCTAACTCCAGGTCTTTGCACATTCATTATAATATTTGACTTTGTCTTCTTGAGCTGCCCTTCGAAATGTTCTGTTCAGCTGTTTTACCTCCTCATTTCTTCCATTTGCATCTCTACCTGGAGAGCAAGTTTCAGAGTCTTTTCTAACATACATTTTGTCTTTTCCTTCTTCCTCATCTTCTCGATGACCTTTTGCTTTCTTCCTGTATGATGTTCTACATGTCATCTCCACAACACTTCTGGTCTTTGGTCTTCTGATCTATTCAGTATATATGCCTTTCATTTCCTTTTCTTGTCTTACTGCATTAACTACTATACTGTTGAATAGGCAAGCATGATGAAAGAGGATGTCTTTGCCACGTTCCTGGTCTTAAGGGGAAAGCACCTACTTTCTCACAATTAAGTATATTAACTGTTGATTTTTTTGTAGGTGTTCTTTATCAATTTAAGGAAGTTCTCTATTCCTAGTTTCCTGAGAGTTTCTGTTGTGAATGGATGTTTGATTTCAAATGCTGTTTCTGCATCTTATAATATGATCATATGATTTTTCTATGTTAGTCTGTTGATGTGATTAATTGCATTCATTTATAAACTTTACTGAGATAAAACTATTTTTAATTGTGGTTAAAAATATGTGAAACCCAACATTTGCAAATTCA